GCAAACTAAAACGTATTAATTTAAAACCCAAATGCTAAACGTTGATTAAAAGCATTAGCAACGATCAGACTTAGCATTGTTTTATCCCCTATTTGTCAGATAAACGTCTACTAACCGCAGCTAAACATCCAATGAGCTGGCTTTTGTGCAAACAATAGTCAGCTCATTGGATGTTTAGCTGGGGTTAGTCGGTCATTTGTTTGCATAAATGACAAACAGAATATTGTTTACTTTTGTTCTAATTGATGAACGCTATGTAATAAAAACATTCAATCATGGATTTCCTTGCCTTTTTAACTTAATTAATTAGAAAACATTTTACGATTTGTCTATGAACAGGATTTAAAAATGTATGTAATATATGTATAATAATGTAACACAAGGGCGACTTGATATGAAATTGCGATTCTAAGAAAAGAGAAAATGTTTTCATGTAACAAGGGACTCGTTACAAAATATAAATACCCGGTGGAACAGAACGACCGACACTCCCAAAAAAATTATATGCCTAGGTCAAATAGTTTCGGAGATATTAAATTTCAAAGTTTTTGGAAAAAAATGAGTGTTTTCAACCCTGAGTCAGCTGTTTCAATTCAGCGATTCATCACTAACACAAATGTACATTGTTTTAAAAACATTGAGGAATTTGGTATGAAAACAGTATTAAAGTAATTGCATTTAAAAAGAACATTATAAAATACATAATATCAAAAGAGGAATTAAAAAAAGTTGAACCGAGTTCGACCATGGATAAAAGTCCCACCCGCCCGACAACCGCCACCCCGCTTCATTGTTCCGTCGAGGGTTCCTGTAACCCAGTCGCAAAAAATAAAAATACAACACCTAACGGAGCTCAGTCGCCGCCGACCGTTTGCGTTGGAGTGTTGTTGCGCATCGCCGCCGACGCACCGCTGCGAAGCGCCTTTTATGTCGATTTTTGTTTTGTTCTAGTGCATTTTTAATTGATTTTTTTAAATTAAAGATTGTGTTTAGTTTTGTGTGAAATGTGATGTGTTTTGCACATGCATGCACCAGCATGCAAAAAGCGTGCTTAGCTCAGTCTTCAGAGAGGAAATGGACATTTTCATCAAAATATCGGTAAAGAATTAAATTAAATTAATGTATTTCACGGTCCATTGTTTTACTTCGCACAATCGATATTGCGCATGCGCGTTATAGGGCTCTCAACACATAGAAATTATTTTAATTTTTTACTCCATTTTTACACCTTTATTTTGAAATATTTGTCAAATAAAATGATGTTTGCATGTAACCTTACTTGAAACTTTCGGCTGTGTCGGTCATTTTGTAGCTCCCGGTATGATTATATATCTTGTATAGAAGTTGAATTTATCCCGCGTAGAAAAGAAAGAGAGAGAGAGAAATAGTCTTCGTTATTTTGTTTAAGTAATATCTTCATTATATCAGCCTGTCGCGGTCCACTGCTAGACGTAGGCCTCATACAGAGAGCGCCTCAAAACACGATCTCCCGCTGCCTTCATCCAGCCACTGCTGGTCACCTTTCTGAGGTCGTAAATTCGTTTTACCGGAGGGCGTCTGACACAACATTTGCCAAGGCATGGTCTCCATTCGAGAAACTTTCTACTCCACCGCTTGTTATTTCTGCAACAGATGTGGCCAGCCCATTGCCACTACAGCTTGCTACATTTCTGGATGACATCCATCACTTTAGTTTTCTGTCAAGTGCCTGAAGGTCATCACCTTATTCCGGATTTTATCTCATAGAGAGACTATGAGCTTAGACCTTTTCATAGCTCGCTGAGCGACAGGTACTCGGTGGGCCAGCTTCACTGTCATGTTCCACATTTCAGCTCCATAAGTCAAGGCTGGTAGAAGGCATTGATTGAATACCCAGGTTTTTAGGCATTGTGGCAGTATGCATGAAAAGTTATTACGAGAGATTCCAAAATGCTGCCCGGCCCAGCTGCTCTCTGCTATACCCAGTGGTTGGTTATACTCCTCAGATTTCTGTATAATTTGCTTTACTGTGTGTATGTGGTCTACGGTACTGTAGCCTTTTCGAAGTCGCTGTTCGAAGTTCTTTTTCTGTCGCCTGTTCCGATGGTTGAAGGCGTCTTATGTTGCAGTAAGACGTTTCGTAATGACTTTCGAGAATAACTTACAGATGTGGCTCAGAAGTGTGATCCGTGTGTAGTTATTTAAGAGAGATTTATCTACTTTCTTGCAAAACAGAGAACGAAGAACGAAGAGTGAACATATTCGAAATATAGACTCGCGCCTTAAGAATATGACTACGATACCCCATGGTAGTTGGCCGTCGATACAGCCATTTATACAATAGAAATAATGTGAACGTGACGTGATCGTTCAATCAATCTAACATCCTAAGTGCCTGGGCATATCTGCTTTAACTGTATAAGGGCAGAAAACTGGTAATCGAATTGTGTTACGTTCGATTTGTGCTCATAACAATCGAAGTGTTTTTAATATATTCATGACATAAGTTAGAATGCTGTATTATTCAGAATGTTAACTTACATACGACCTTATTCTCCATTTCTAGTATATACTTAGATTTGCATAGTATTTCAAATATCTTTCTCCAATAAAAATGCCATCAACATTATTCCAACACGAAATCCCCGAACTATTATTATTCGGTAAAGTATAAAAGGCTGGAATCTCATATCACTTAACGTAACATATAGTAATATTACTGTGACACATGTACCCATTAACACCACATTTGGCCGCAATTTGTGACACATGTCTCATATATTTCAACTTTTCTGTCGGTTACAAGGTTGTGCGTAACTGGTTTTTAGTCAAGTCAAATACATCTGCTGAATGGATTATATGTGTGCGTGTTTTATATAAAATTTTGAAACACTAAAAAATATTTTGGCTCCTAATTATATGTATTAAATAAATATAATATAATTTTAGAAGGTAGAAAACTCATCTAGGTAGGATCAGTTGCTGGTGATTATAATTTTCTACATTTTGTATTTATTTGACGGATTCGTACGCATTGGTTGCTTAATTTTTCCCTGTTTAGTAGTAATAACGCTGGTTCTGCAACTACATACTTCGAAGTCACTTGTATGCACAAAATTGTTTCAAAAGATACTACTTACCTACCATTATGCCGTTCGCTAGGATGGTGTCCTAACCACGTTTACTATGATTTGGTTGGCAAAAGAAAAAATCACATTTTCCCCACTTTTTTACCATACTAATATCGGAGATACTGATGATGAAAAAATGTCTCTAAATATGTTATTACTTAAAATTTTCCGCCTGTACCCGTAAATCACAGCAAATTGCATAAATGTCGAGAAAAAGACACCGATGCCCGTTTTCACTAAACTTGACATATATATGACAGGTTATATATATGTCAAGGGATAAAGGAAAACAATATTTATCTGGAATTTAACTAATCTACTTAGGCGATTCGTAATATTAGGCGCTTCCTAGTTAAGCTATGCCTTGTTCTAGGTTAGTGAATATGGGCGTAACAATCTTAAATATAAGTGACAATTACGCATTTTTTGGGTCAAAAAAGCCACAACAGTTTTAAATATTAATATATTTTGTTTTATGTAATTAAATTTAAACTGTTAATATTAAATTTTGTGTAGGAGTTTGTATAAGTCTGTTAAAGCAATTCTCTCATAGGACAAGATTTCCAGAGACACCTAAGTAGGTCGCAGCGCAGACGAAGATAGTTTTATATTTTCAAACATTTCAGTTCTCTTGCATGGCCCGTGATCATTAGCACTGTTTTAGTAAATGTGTAGCACTCTAAGATGTAATTAAGTGTAACCTACTTTACCAGAAATTGGACTTGCTCAGTGTATAAGCTTAATGGAAACAACCGCGACCTGCCAAAATACATAGGCATGGTTTGTTAGTAAACCAAATGTAAATTGACAGGTAACTCGATTATATCTGTTATTTTTACACGAGAAGTATCAATCTCTTTAAATGCATTTTAGGTGAACGTCCTTTAGTCAGCACGCGCGCACTGGCTGCACTGCATTATTTTATGCAACGGATTATATTAAAAATTGCCTATAACGTCATCATCATAATTCTGACGTCAAAACTGACAGTTGCATTTTTCATATAAGCATATACGATAAATTCGACTGGAGTGGACATATGTCATCGACAAATCCGTGCAATGCGTTGCATGTCGTGCAGCCAGTGCGTGCGTGCTGAGGCAGTGGACGACCACATTTTGTGACCCACTTTTAAATACTATTCTATTCCTAACAAGAACTTGATCAATTTATGAAAAAATAAATATTTCATACCTTATGTCAACTTCTCTATACTATTTTTTCGCGATGTAAGATAATATTTCTCCTTTCGTAAAGTCAACTCTATCTCTATACCGAGTTTCGTTAGAATCGATTCAGTGGTTTGGGTGTGAACCCATTTTCGCGATATAATGTTATCTTGGTTCTTTCACAAAGTCAACTCTCTTTTTACCAAGTTCCATTAAAATCGATTTATTGGTTAAGGAGTAAACCTGTTTTCTAAATAAAAGGTAACCTTTGTCTTTTACAAGATCAACTCTATTGCTGTGCCAAATTTCATTAAATTCTGTGTAGTTTAAGTCAGAAAGCTTAAAGAGAGGCAACATAAAGAGTTACTTTCACATTTATTATATTTATAAAATCATGATATAGAAATGATGTACAAAAAATCAGTAATTATAATTAAATTAAATTATGATAATATTACTCGTAATTATATCAATTGTTCAATAATATTAAAATTGATTATACCATGTTGTTTCTAATGACTTGGCAATATTTTGAGAGATTAAAACCTTCCCCAATTAAACGTAACCTCTTTCGGGTCAACCAGACAATGGATTCCAAACCGAATCCTTTAAGCGGATTAATTGAACCCTGTCCAAAAATAACAATAACGATCTACATCCACATTATTTATTACCTGTTGATTTTACACATTACTACCTTTCCGCCAGCAGCTTCGTCCGTGTAGTTCTGTATTATTCATATAAAAATTCCACTTGAATTACTCATTCTCAATTTTCATGATATCCACATTATAATACATACCTTTTTCTTTGCATGTGGGTACGCAATCCCGTACGATTGTCAATTCGCTAACATATTTCTGTAACAAAAGGAAAAACATTACAATTAGTAATTATATATTAAATTACTTAAAACAGCCTAATAGGTATTAGTTATTAATATAATAAGGTATTAGTTGGCAGTGGTTAACAGATAAACGATGTACCTATTTTTCAATTATAATACCGGTTATTGATAAAGTTTTGTATATGAAACGACAGAACATATCTTTCATCAATAGTATCACAAAGTTACAACGTCGACGTCAAACTCAGGGCATACAATGTTTAAGCCAAAGTAAACAGTTTATCTGAGAATTCATACCGAATCGTAAAGCAAACTTGTGATTGATTTCCAATCAACAAAACGAACATTTCCATAATTTTTTATTCCACTAAACAACAAAACGAATGTAAAGATTAACTTTATGATATAGCCACAAAGTTTATATTGTTAGAGAGCTCGGAGGCATAGTGGATAAGCGACGCGGCCCGGATCGTTGTTTTTAAGCTACTTTCGCAAGGGTCGGGCACAGGATGGGTGACCAAAAAATTATTATCTCGAGTCACACTGTGCGACAAAGGCACGTTAAGTTGTTGGTCCTGGCAGCATTTGCAATCGTCAATACCCTCCAAAACCGCACTGGGCCAGCATGGAGGGTTATGGCTCATTCTCCTTAACCATCCAAAAGGAAGACCTGAGCTTCTGCAGTGAGAATATAACGGGATTGATGATGATGATGAAAACTATTAAATCGCACGCGTTCTGATAAATCTGTTAAGTGCCAAATAAAAAAAAATGAGTTAAATATACCATTAGTTAGAGAATGTTAAGCTTTATCTACTGATAAAACCCACTTCGGTTTTATAATATTTTAGACAGGTTTTATCATCATAGATGCGATTGAGTGGATTGAGCTTGTTAATTGCAGAAACCTATATTTTGACATAGATGACCGTAGTAATAAACCTTAATAGTAGAAATAGTATCTCCTCGATTGCGACAAAATACAACTGATTTCATTACCCCTGGACACAATAGTTTTTTAATCATCGAAGTTCGCATTATGAATTGCTAAGTCTTTGTGTACAGTTGCTTATTAATATTTTTATTGTTTTGATTATTATTATTAAATTATTATGTTATCATTATAAGACCATAGTTTTTTTCTCTCTCTATTTATAATGGATTGATCTGGTGATGACATAGCTTTTGTGAATATCATTAGTCTTATTAGAGCTGATGAGTTTCTTGCTCGTTCTTCTTATCAGCCAAAAGACGTCCTGAACTAGTGGCAGGGAAAAAAATGTTGAACGATTCAAAAAGACTATTAAGAAGTCTATTCGAATAGATTATTTTGACTTCAACTATTTTGACATTATATTACCTTTATTACGATACAATCAAAGTTTGGTAGTTATCATAATCAAAGACTTGTCTGCGCAGCTCCTAAAATATTCTAACCTATAATACGTCACTAAAGATTACCGTTTCTATTTTATGACTAGGAAGATTGGATTTTCACAAAAATATTTCATTCATTATAAATAAGCTTTACGACCGTCCAGGTATTTTACGACGTTATCTTTATTTTTTTGTACAATATTCAATATCTGCTTAGATAAAGCATTTTTTAGGTATGCGTCCCTCAAAAGGAAAAATAACCATGAATGATGCGGAGTCCCGCGCAGATATATTTATTTTTTGAACCATACACTCCTAATAGATTCTTTACGTTATATTTGTCTCTATACATTTTTATGTATTTTTGCCAAACTACTTAGTGGTTTTGAAAATGGGGTCATTGCAAGTGTCAATTCATATTTATATTATATATATATATATATATATATATCAATTTATATACAAAAATATATTTGGGATGTCACAATAAGCCCTTCGATTTCATCAAAAATTAAAGTATTGGGTTGGCACAAAAGTAATGAGACACACTAGAAAAATCTATAACATTTCCTTTTTAAAATCAATTTTTTCGATAACATTCTAGGTACTTCTGGTGTAGGGTATATAAAGCCGCGCTCGCGATTTGTTTAGTCAGTTTGAAGAAAAATGGACGAGCGACAAGTTCGAACACTATACTTATACGAGTATTTGTTAGGCCACAGTGCGCGGGCTGCGGCTGACAATATCAACAATGCATTAGGCGCTGGAAGTACAAGCCATTAAAACAATTTAATGATTTCTCTGACGTAGAGGCGGAGTTGAACAAATATTTCGAGGCACAGCCATCAGAGTTCTGGGCAAAAGGCATCCAAACTTTGCCGGATCGTTGGCAAGAAGTCTAAGATACTAATGATAATTACATCATTGACTAAACTTTTTTTATTGTAATAATAATAAAAAAGTAAAAACTTAAACCAAGTTTCTCATTACTTTTGTGCCAACCCGATATATTATAAGTCTTTAAAGCCACTTATCATAACATCCATGCACATATTTATAGGTAGTATTTTATAAGTCGGAATATTTAGATTTTATATAAAATCTGCCATTATGCTTTATAATAATAGAATATAATAATAAATTGTAAGTAAATCGTAAGTCTAGTTAAGGTGCTTCGAAAGTCATAAATCAAAAAGATTGTGTACCGAGAATAACCTGAAAATACTAGATAAAAGGCTTCAATATTAAGACATGATATCATTGTAACGTATTAGGTAGCAACAATGACAAACACAATTTCGTGTGCCAAAAGAAATATACCGACATATTATTTTAACATCAATCATTCCACGGACCGCGTACCCCGCGGCAATTCAATAGATTATTAGTTTAATCAAACACCCCACCTCTAACTTCTAACTTGAATTTAATTAATAGCCCCTAACCTGACCTGACGGGCTAAATTGAATTTGATCTACGTTTATATCGCAAACATGTTTAAGAGTTAAGAGTTTGCTCGAAGATGAAAAGATAGCTACTAGGAATCAATAGAGATAATAGCGAATTATACCCGTAGTATGAGCACTTGAAATATAATTAGTCCGCCATATTAGAATTAGAATGAATCAATCTATTCATCGCAATCTTCTAGGCGAATTGTTTCATCCGTCCGCCATCTTGAATGGTCCACAATTTTATTATTTTAGCATTTTCTTTAGCAAACCCCTTTTAATCAATATTTTCGTCCTACAAAATAAAACCTATTTAGACGTTCCCGTTTGATTTTCTTTTTCAAAATTGATTGTGTCTGATGACAGTACTGCTTTCTTACTTTTAATTACAGTTTATTTTTTAATTAAAAATCATTGATTTGAGTTAATGCCTTCTTAGATATGAGACTATTATATATTTACTTACGTCTGTGATATACATTCGTGGGGTTCAACTCAATTACACGTCACTTTCAGTGTTCTTATGTATTGTCCCCGATCTGTGTGGTTATTTACCTTTGTTTTTTGTCTGATTTTAGATAAAATAATATTTAAGCATTCGTCGGAATGTATGTGAAGTCATACAATTATGACATTAATGTAGTGTAGTTTTTACCTATATTTTTAGGGTTCGATTTACCTCATTTTTTTTTACTTTACAACGCATTTAATCAAATACATTTTTTATTTTAGTTATTTTGATGTAGTATTCTCAGCAAATATTTTATTTGATACCTTTAAAGCACAGAATTAAAACAACTTCCGCTTACTTGAGCCGTCAGCTATTTTATATTGTAAATAATGTTACTTGGCTAATCATATATTGTCATCTTAACTAAAACTGTTTGCAAAATTTCAAACTAATCGGTTGCTGGTATAATTGACTTAACGTTGAGTTGCAAAATTTGACGAAGGTAAAATTTTACTAGGAAATGTATCTTAGGCTAATCTGTGGTATCTTTGATTAAAAAACTTGCGAAGTAAAATACTGACACAAAATATTCTTTATTCAAAATAGATAAATTTAGTTTCGCAGTATATCCCTGGATACTGGTTCTTTGTATGATAGACTTATTCAAGCGTAACTTCGACGGGCATTGTGTAACTATGTTTATTGTACAAAGAAGGAAATTGGGAGGAATGACTTCTACATTTCCAGTTAACATACTTATAATAAACTTTGTTAGGATTATTAACTTTTTCCGTTTTACCTTCTTTTCCAAAATTGATTCAATTTGATAACAGGATCCTATGATTTTATCGAATGATAAGACCAGCATAGAAAGAAAGACAGCTTAACATAGGCCAACAAAATTTTGCTTGCATTAATTTCAAATTAGGCAATAATCCCCTTCGCGGCATGTACACTATTACAGAAAAAAAAATCAATGCGTAAGAGAAACAAACAGATGCACTTTCACATTTCTAGTATTGGTATATATTATAGTCATAAAAGCCATTAAATACCGACCACAGCTGTTTAGTTTGTAGATTACTTTGAAGTTTGCTTTACCCGACTAAACTTAGCGGACGGCACGTTACAACACTATTGGAAGGGTGCCAGATATGACAAAAGGACCTTAATATGGCAAGGAAACTTTCGAAAATAAAATAAATCACTTTCTAGTTAGATCTTTTAGTGTGTGTCAAAGATTTACGTTAATGGGAGATATTTGAGGTTTTATTTATTTGTATTGGATTGGATAAACTCAACAACGGGATTCTGAGTTCTGATATTTTTTACTTAATAATCCCATCTCAATGGAATCTCAACTATTTGCATTTTTCCATTAGTCCAATATTTCAATATCTTCTTCACAAATCAATGATTACAGATATATTAATTATTTTTCGATATAATTACAAGATCTGTGTCACAAAGGGTAGTAGTTGAAGCGCTATTGACCTTCCTTTGCGCTAACATTAACAGAATTGCCTTAGTAACCTTAAGGTTTATAATGTTACTAGTTTTCAGGGCTTTTATGTGTTCTGAGCTAATTATTTATCGTCCCACGTGTATTGTATTTGATCAATTTTGCATTCACTATGCTATACTGAAAAATATTCTTAATGAAAAATGCATAAAAAATCACTTTGTCCCTGGCACTCTGAGATGGGACTCGAACCCATAACCATTGGCAATCCG